AAAAAAAAAAAAAAAAAAAAAAAGAGAAGAAACTCAAAATCCTTGAAGAACTTAAAAAACTCTTGGAAAAACTTAAATAGGAACCCTAAAAATGACAAAATATAGAACTAATAGTTGGATTCTTAGGTCCTGCTGAAAGGGATGAAACTGAAAAGAGAAAAGAATATGATATTAAGCACTTCTTTGCTACTTGCTTTATTTTATGAAATGTTGAAACTACAGAAAGGGATCAAACTGAAAGAACTTTGGAAGAAGAGCAAGAACTATAAAAAGAAATCGTGGCCAACCACAGCCGAGGATGTGGAGATGTTGCTTGCGCTAGTCGATATCAAAGTGCTGTCGAGGGTTTTGAGAATGTCGAGGATTAGCAAAGAACAGCTGTTTTGGTGTGAGGAGAAGATGAAGAAGCTGTGTTTAAACAACGGCAAGTTGCAGAGAGACCCGTCCCCAATCCTTTTCCCTTGTTAGTAGTTTCGGAAAACGGTACTGACTTTGATTTGTACTCTGCAAGAATTGGATCCTTTTCTGGATATCTGAATATCTGATGACTAATTTGTGTGCATTCACCAGTGGAGTGCACATCTTTTTTAGTTTTTTTTTTTTTTTTCCTTAGCTTTCTGAATGTCAGATGTAGTTTGAACTTCAGGCAGGAACAGTAGAATTTTATTTTGCTATGTGTGCATGCATGCATACATGATGTAATCCTACTGTTATCCAAGTTGAGAAAATTGGCTAATGAAAGTGGTGAAAAGCAAATTAGTCACTTGTGCTTTATTTGGAGGCAGTTTTGTGATGTCATCTTTGTTCAGTACAAAATCCAACATAATTAATCAGATTGTGATGCTTGTAAGGAATGATTTGAGAACCAAATTGCAAATTATATGCCCAAAAAATTCTTGAGATTAGCAGCAGGAACCTAAAAGGAAAGGTTACTCTGTAGAATTTAGCTTCATAGAGTAAAAACTTGCTTTCTACATACAAAATAAAGCAGCCATTAAGCATTTTCTGGCACTTGGGTGTGGCCTCACTCACCTCATATGGTTGGCCTGCTCTCATGGTGCCCGGGGCCTTTAGTACACATGAACGTCGACCGGTTAAAACATCTACCGATTCAACTCATAATGTACTCGCAAAAAAAAGAAAAAAAAAATGGGTTGGCTTAACATTTAAAAATGGCACCAACACTAATTCATCAGTACAAATGTCCCTCTACCAACCAGTTTGTGCAGTCACCAAAAAAAAA